TTATATTTTTTAAATACATAATACAGCTATCTTACTATTATTGTAATACGTCCTTAGAACACACTTATCTGCCCATCCGTAATGTATCTGGCTTCTGAATACTGGAAGAGATGAGAGTTCCTTAAGAAAACATGTGCACATGGATTGTTCTTGTAAATGAGACAATAGCGACCTACTCCTTGTGGTCTTTGTACCTTGCATCTCTTTATCTCACTGTGCTGCTGCTTAGTGTGCAAATAGTAAGCCTCTAATAGGGCTACACAAATCACCAAGGCCAAGGTGGAGTAAAATACACACATAGAGCCAGATTTCTCAAGTACTAACAGTGAAATGACTGTCCCTCCTTTTAATTCATTTCAGATTGTATGTATATTCCCATTACATATTTTTAGATTATCCATTGCTGAAGTTGGCACTTTCTGCGTAAAATTTAGCAGTTTATTTTGAAGGTCAAGACCAGCATTAGTGAAACAATCTGTTCAGAACCTATTTGGAACTATTTCACATGTGATTTCAGTCCCATCTGCATTGAAAATGGACAGAAAAGTCAGACTTTATATAATAGAGGGTTTAAAAAACAAAACAAAACACAAAAAAAACCAAACAAAAAAACCCAACACACAACAACAGGCCTATTCTCAGAACTATATAAAGGCTGCTGTAATACTTGGAATCAAAGCAGCCAAAAAAAAAAAGTCAATTACTAGGAAGTCCCAACGCAGTTTTTATTATGCTGAAACTAGGTTGTCCTGTGGCACTGTGAGAGCTGGGCAGTGCTTGATCAGCACTAAGTGGAAGGGAAAACAGTGCCCTGTGTTAATCTATGTGAAAAGTATTACTGATTCAATGAGAATTCTACAAGTGCTTAACATAAATTTTAAATGTTTTAGCTTGATTTGTGTGGTGGGGTTTTTAGTTTGTTATTTGTTTTTCTAAGTGGAGGAAATGTAAGTAAGAGGTAGAGTAGGCCAGTAACAGAGAGGACTGACAAAATACTCCATAACTAAACTAACCCACACTTCAATTTTCATACAGGGTGGTGCACCTTCGCCATTTGATAGAAATTTTGGGACAAAAATTTCTGCAAAAGCTATGCAGTGGATCTCCAAAAAACTGAAAGAAACCTACCGAAAAGGTGCAGAAATATTTGGTGCTCTCTTTTGTTACTGTCTTTGATTAGCTATCAGTATGCAAGACTACTCTACTATGCAAACATGAATGTATGTTAATTTGTTAGTGTACATACTTCTTTGCCTCTTGATTATGTTTTCATTATTCAGTAGTGCCTTGCTGTGCTTCCTGCTGTAAGATTTTCCCCTCAAGTGAGGTCAATAAAGATAGCTGGTTTTTTATTTTTCTTTAAAAAATGCTAGTGTGATTGCAGTTTTTCATGCATGAAGGAAGTGATGGTTATATAGTTACACCTATCTGTTCTTCCTTTTTGTTTCATGGTGGCTACATGGGAGACAGAAGAAGGTAATATGTCTTCTTTGGGAATTTTTGTAAAGCACTATTTACTAAAATCTAATTTAAAGCTGGATGTTAAAATTCAGTCTTATTGTTGCTTAATTACACTGTATTTTCTTTGCTAATCACTGAAGCTAAATTAAAAAAGAGACAATCTCCTAACCCTATTAAAGTACTAATTGATGTTTTATCATTACATTAAATATTCAGTTACTGGAATTAAGCCGCTGTAAGCTTCCTATTCAGTTTAATTACAGAAGAAGGGTATTTGCCCTTAAAAGTGTGAGTAAGAAAGATCCTGAATTATTTCATTCTTTTTAGGAAAAGTATTTGCCAATACTGATGACTCAGTTTGTTTGCTGGGAATGCGTAGACGCAACCTTGTTTTCCAACCTGTGGCCGAGCTTAAGACTGAAACAGACTTTGTGTACGTATACGCTGCTTACATTTTAAACATCCCAACACAAGCTACCTTTCACCGCATCAAACGAACAACTTCTCCACACTGCTGACACACACAGTGTTTGCCAAGTGTTTTACTGCACTTTTGTCTTTGGCCTATATTCGGCCAGTGATTCACTTTGATTGTTCACTTGTCTTTTCTAACAACTCCCTTCATGCTGTCTCTTCACCCTCCTTACACTTGGAAGTCTCTTGTTATGAATTCTGGGACTCCACTGTTCTTTTAAATCACTTTCTCCTAATTGTCTTTGCTCTAATGTCTAGAATTACTTTACTTCTGGTACAGTTTAGCAGGGTAGCATTTTTGGTATTATGTTTACCTAAAAAGACCATCTTCCAGTAAAATCTATTCATTCCTTCAGTATTCTGTCCTTATTTCTCCCCCTTTTGGGTCAGTGTTTACATCCCACCATAAATTTCAATACCTGATCCTATTTATAAGGAAGGCCGTTACTGTTAGTGGCTAAGACCAACACATTTGACAATACTAAGTAAATCACCTTTTTTTTTTTTTTTTCATCCACCCCCAC